TAGGGCTTGGGTTAGGGCTAGGGTTAAGGCTAGGGCTAGGGCTAGGGCTAGGGCTTGGGTTAGGGCTAGGGTTAACGGTGCACACCCCAGTTCTTCCGTGATAGTCCGTTGTAAAAAAGTGACGAAAGGGTTTTGAGGGTCCAAGTTTGAGGTGACATTTCTTATAAACTGCCACGAAGTATCATTAAACATTAACATGGCTGAAGAGTGTAAGAAATGGTGATTTTGGGGTGAAAATTTCTTTTGGCTCCAAACCTTACTTCCGGGTATCCTTGCGCGCCAAGTGTAATCCGCCCGTTTGACCTAGATTTCGCTCTGCGGCTTCGTAGGGGTGGATTTGCAACCCCTCGCGCCGTGGACTGTTTAGAAAATTACAGTACTAGAATTTTCTTTATAATTTACTCGGGTATAGTCAAGGCTTGGGTCTTTCTGCCAGCATCAGTCATTTCTGCCGGAAAATTTTTTTTGGTGGGATTATCCTACGCGAAAATTCGCAATTTTGGGCATTAATTTTGGAGTGAAAATAATGTTTTTCCGTTGTATTTACCAAACTTAAAAAGGTTAGAAGAAACCAAACTCAGCTTGTCTTGTAGCTGAAGAGATATCCTTTCGTCCCATATACAGTTATTCTCCTTCCAAATTATTCCACGCCAGAGACGGTCGCTAGATTTAAGGGTGTGCAGCTTCGAATAGAGGCCCCAAATAAACTGTGGTGTGCCCCCTTACATGGGCAAAAAAGAAAAAGTTTCCTATAACGATTGATGTTGTAGGACAGATTTTTTTACTGTGTAAATGAGCGTGAACATTTAGTGATATACTTGTGTACATATACATAATTTATAGTTTATAATAATCTCTATGACATTGTGTATTGGCCTGCAGAATGGGCAAGTGACAGAGACACTCAGCAGTGATGATGAGTCAGTCAGCAGCACAGCCAGAGACATGACCATGGGCAATGACTCCATCTTTTTCCTCTCATTTGTCTGTAAGTTGCCCTTCTTTAAGATTAAGAAAGTGGTGTTGTCAAGCTTTAAATCTGATTTAAACTTTCATAAAGAACGTTAACATCCAGCATTGTCTGTTATTTTTCATTATCATATAGCCGGACGGCGCGGACCAATCAGAGGCCCGGATACCCGTGCTGTTATTTCCCGATAACAGCACATGTGGTGTTATGGCGGAATAACAGCACATGTCGTGTTATGGCTGATACCATTATGTTATAGGGTATAGGGGCATGCGACTCTTTCTGTAAACCTTTGTAGCATTTTTCTGTCCAATAAACTTTTTTGTTTAGCTTCATTTAAACTACAATTTGCATTAAATGAAATTATCCATATTTGTTTTAAAGCGTATAATATATTCGAATGTATTTTTATGCATGTATATATATTAAAGCTGTTGTATTTCAAACAGGAATTGTGTTGATTGACAGTTTGGATAGGCTATATGATAATAATTTTAATGCACTGCCTTTTCCTCGTTGTATATGGTGTCATAACTGCATGGGCAGCTGCCATAACCACCTCATAAACCACCTCGTTCGCTTCGCTCACACGGTGGTTTATTCGGTGGTTATGGCAGCTGCTCATGCAGTTATGACACCATATACAACTCGGGGCAGTGCATTAACCCTTTATTATGATCCAGATTAAGGGTGGGTACCTGTATAGAAAATTCAGGTTCAGGTTCGGATCAGGTTCAGAGGATCAGGTCCAGGTCCAGGCCTTGTGAAGGCAGAGGGGAATAACGGAGCGGAGACACAGCGTTTACGGATGGATTCCAGGCTAGAGAAATCATGGAGAAACCAGACAATTTGCCTCAACTGCTAGATGATGTTTTTTGTTCAACGTAAATTGTGGCATGTGCCACCCTACTACATATATTCACCACAGAACTGAAGATGCTTACACAATTTGACATTAAAACATCTCAACTTGGAAACGATTTATGTCTCGGTCATGTTGTGAGGTGACTCTCTTCAAGGAGACCACCTGTCCAAGGTGACCACTTTTCTTTGGTCCCCTGGGTGACCGGCTTGGACAGATTTGACTGTACACATGTATGGTATGCAAGATTTCGAGTACCGGCTAGTTTTAGCTTTCAGACAGTTCAGCATATGGTTAAACCAAGTCATGATTGAAGTTAGGTGCTCATCATTTCCACCTGAGTGAAGTGAGGAAAGTCATGTAAAGTTCCTATGCCAAGGGCACAACATTGGGGCAAGTCAGGGGATTGAACCTGGGACCTCTTGGTTCCAAGCTGAAAGCTCTGGCCTGACCATAATGCCATACAATGCTACAAATTATGCTCAATCTTTGGTTCATGATACTGGTACCCACCCCTAGTACATGTATGTTACCCATTGTTTTTTTGTATGAAGTACATCTATGTTGCAAAATGGATTGTAACAGAATGAAGCACATGAAGTATCATAAAAATTGTTGTTTCCCCAGTTGCATTCCTGTTTAACTGGATTGGGTTTCTGATGGCCTACTGTCTGAGCTCCAGTGCTGCGGGGCGGCTGGGAGCCCTGTCAGGGTTTGGGCTGTCACTGGTGAAGTGGATACTCATCTTCAAGGTATGTTGTCATGACTGGCCTGTTGTGCTTACAAAACAAGCTTAGGACACACCAATTTAATTTCTTGGTTAACGGATTCGCCTGCTTCATTTTTTTCTGATTTGCAAAAAAAAAAAAAAATTCATAATCAACTGCAAAATACTCATATTTTGCCTCGAACAGTTGAGAACAGTCCTTTCCTTCCTAGTTGTTACAGTTATTTCATCTTTTAATGCAATGGTATCATTAAAAGTTCAAAATTCATTGTTTTAATTTTGAACCAGCCTGGTGTGCTGACTTCATGGCTCCTATCGTACCATTTTGGGCCATAGTAGGATGCATAGGCCTGTTTTTGTTTATTTTTTTTTTCGCCCGCCCGCTCCATTTTTTTCTAGAAAAATCTGTTAACCAAGAAATTAAATTGGTACTGTCAGATATTTAAGTACATGCATGTTAAGGTATTACCTGTAGATAGCTTACGGTATCTTGAGTACTGTCAATTCCCGATCAAAGTGTGCACTTTTTCAAACTCCCAAAAGCACCAGTGTGTGTCTCAGGCCGTCACCAAGGTCTTTGAGGCTTTTACCCAGACAAATCGGAAGATGATACAGCAACTGAGCAAGCCAGTGGAACACATGTGCAATGTTGGAATAACAGTAAATGTAAATACTATTATAATAATGAATAATTAGAATATAATGAAATATTCTAATAAATATAATACTAGAATAAAATGTAGCTGACTTAAACCTGCTAGTGTAAACAGTGCAGCTTTGGATTACAATCATTTGCGTCAAATATAGATACAAATTATGTCTTGGAGCAAATTAAGAATTAAAAACTAGAGATAGTCCAGGTCAGATGAATGAATGATAAAATGTTGTTTACATGGTTAACAACTGACAGAATTTCAACTCTCTTGTTTTTTCTAGCATTCACAATGCTGTACAGATATTGTGGACAGTCAGACTTGGCTGTGGTGGATTCTCATTGTGTTGGGTGAGTTATTCTGATGTTCTTAGAAAGATGTTTTGTAGGTACCCCTGTAAAGGCATCCAAAATTGATGTTTAAGTATTGTCCGTTTTCACTTTATTTGATGTAGAAATTGTAAAAAATTTTGGATCCAAAAGCAGGACAGAAACATCAGCACGGTGTAAACCATGGAGCCTTCAGAGTTTTTGTGGTTTTGAATGCTCATAACTTGAGATAGGAATAACCTAGTCAGTGTTCGAAATCCTTTTTTGAGCCAGGTACCACAGTGTGCTACCTAGGGCAAAAACAAGGTAGCACGTCAGAATCTTAGGTTCAACCCCCCATCCCCCGATTTGTTGATTCTATATGCGTGTTGCAATACCGTATTTCTGCTAATAAAGGATTCACTTTTTTTGACATTTCAAGAACTTTTAATCAAAGCCAAAGTCTGGGTGCGCAATTTATTCAGGTTTTCCACCGAGAACAATCGTGACACAAGCCAGGCAGCCGGCCACAATGTTACATAAAATTTGATCACAGTTGAGTATTAACAAATATCATTGTTATACTGGTATTGAAAAAAAAAATTATCAGACACTGAATCGCGATTAACGCTGGCTGTGTAGGTAGTGCCCGACAAACATTTTAGTGTGCCGGGCGTTGGCTGTGCATGCCTACACCACTTGCGACATAAATTCCTGAGGAAGCATACGGCTAAAAACTGGGCACATCGTACGTATCCACAAATATTTCCATCCAAAACATAGTGACTGAAATGTTACATATAGAATAATTTCGATTCAGCGGTAGTTTTATTTCTTCTTTTGATCGGTAAAATATGTCAAACCCACGCTGGTCTCAGCACACAACAACAACGCACTTCCGGGTTGATCGAGCGCAAATTTCCGCAGAAAGACACAACTAATTCGCAAAGAAATATGTATTTTCCCAAAAGGTTCTTTAAATTGTGCATTTTTTTTTCACTAAATGTGGCTGGGCAGTCTTGGAAAACAACGTTTCAGTGCATATTTTGAAACAAAATGTGCGTGCCTGCGCCTTGGAGTTGTCGCCTGCGGCCCGAAGCTACAGCCAATCAGAGGCGCAAATCGCGGATACGTCATGCAAGATTTGCATACCGGTCAGCCGTCCGGCTGGCGCTGTGCTTAAAAGAATTTCTGTGCCAGTGTATCGCCGTATTTCTGGAGATAAAAGCTGCGACATGAAGATCTAGCCCTGACTCGGCTCACTTGAGCGCCGTCTGGTGCCGTCTGCACAGAGAACACTAAACCTTTGAGTTCAGCGGTACATTCAGGGTTGGACAAGTCCCATTGCCCACTTGCCTAGGGCAAGTAAAATCACTGTCCGGGTAAATATCCCCCTGTACTTGCCTGATTGGGCAAGTAAATTTTTTGGATGCAGTTTATGGAGCAAAGTTACACATCATTCAAATAAAGATATTATATTGATACCAGTCATGCATAGAAATACATCATATTTTGGGCAAGTGAAAAGTTGGTTCTGGCAAGTGGAAATGACCATCGGGCAAGGCGCAAGGGCAAGTGGAATTTTGAAAACTTGTCCAACCCTGGGTACATACATGTATTTTCTGGTTGTGCGGTGCACTACCTGAGTCAGGGAACAACTAGCGCACAAGAAAATTATTGATGTTGCGTGGCGCTAGTGCGCTACCGGGTATTTCGAACACTGCCTAGTTAAAAGTGATACGGCTAATGTTTGTATTACAGACATTGTGAAGATTGAATTGTTAGTTGTGTGTTATTCTGAATTGATCAAAAATTGTAGTTTTAAGTTTTGCACCAAATTGAATGTCAGTGTAAAGCCTACAACCCCCAGGCTTTTCAGGGTATTAAAAAAAATCTCAGCACAGCTATAATGATTATTTTAGCAATGTGGAGCAAATAATTTCGGGTGACCACCACGCACTTCCAGTTTATAATCAAGTGTTTAATTGAATCTCTGCTTGAAAGATCTGAGACTATACATTATAATTAGCTAATTTCTAACCCCACAGGTGTAATGATATGTCTCCAAGGCCTCTTCAACTACATGCGCATCCGTCGGCAAGCCATACAGGGCAACAACCGACACTACTTGTTCTTCTACTACTGAACAGTAGGACCACATCTTGTCTGGACTATTCTACCCTCCAGCAGTGTTCCTCCATTGCAATCTGTTATCTTACTGATAGACTACACCTGTGACTTACAGGCCAGGGTAATGTCTATTGTATGTGCTACAAAATGTACACCTGAGTAAGGCTTGGATGGGGATTATGGAACAGTATCATCAGATCATGCCTCTGCTTTCTGGAGAAACTGCATGGAGCATGAGTTGAATTCTATCATGTTACTGGCAAAAGGTCACTTATATGTCACTACTTCATTTTCTTCTTAGATTTACTGTGAAAAAAACAGGCATCAACCACAATTGTCTGTAGTGAAGCCTGCTCTTGTGTTTTGCATGCATGTAAAATTCTGCCATGAACACCTCCTATCTTTGATTTTATTAACATTCCTAAATGGTTTATGATATGTCCTTTTAAAACCCTTGTCCTGCGGGACCCATATATATATATATATATAAATATATAAATATATATATATATATATATATATATATATATATATATATATAT